ACCAGTGGATCAAGTTTTAATTTTCCTGTTCCTTCCTTATACTGACATATGCTTTGGCAAAACAAAAAAGAGACCTAAACATGTCAGCATGATTTTTGTGCAGTGAATTAAAAACCATAAAAGTAACAAGATCAGATTCAAATCCCTAAACTCCTGACATGGTGGTTTTGTCCTTTTCAATCCCAAGCTTCATATTACGACTTTGGAAGCTTTCTGCCTGGAAGCAAAAGTTCGTGATTTATTTGAAATAGATTACAAGGATACAGGCCAGAGAGATCTAGGTCTGAATCCCAGTTCTGTCACTCAAGCCAGTGGGCCAGTCACTTAACATCTGAGACTCAGTTTCTTCTTTAGGAAAAATGGAACTCTTAATTTGAGGAGGGATTTGGAGGGGATTAGCGAGGTCACCTAACTCAACTGTCTGCTTTGTCTTCAGAGGTTGGCTTTTCTTAAAATTCTTTTTGTCATGGGAGAAAAGGATATGTAGATGCCATGAAATATTGAACATACACCTTTGCCAGTACACACTGAGCATGTACCCAGAACTTGGGAGGGTTCTGCCACTGAGTCACCATTGCTATGCCTAGAACTTGGGACTGTGCTGACTCAACTCACTCAGGATTGTTGATCTGAGGGGTCAGGAAGCATTGCAGTGATAACCACTTCAGGGCAGAGAATTGATCAGGCTATAGGCAAGCTGGGGGCATTTTAATTAATGATTGATAGGGGAAGGCCCAGCCCATTGTGGGTGGTGCCATCCCTGGATTTGTGGTCCTGTTCCATAAGAAGGCAGGCTGAGCAAGCCAGTAAGCAGCATCCCTCCATAGTGTCTGAATCAGCCCCTTGTGCCAGGATCCTGCCCTGTTTGAGTTCCTGTCCTGAACTCCTTCAGTGATGAACAGTGATGCTGAAGTGTAAGCCAAATAAAGCCTTTCCTCCCATGTGGCTTTTGGTTGTGGTGTTTCATCACAGCAATAGTAACCTGACTAGGACAGGGTTCATGATCTAATAAGACCATCCAGGATATAGCTTTCAAGCCTCAGCTCTCGTTACTCCATTTGTTCTTATCTGCTCTTTCTGGGTCAAATGAAACATGATTTTCTTGTACCTCAAAGCTTTTATACATGCTTTTTCTTGGAAATCCTTCTTGTTCTGCCAGCACTAGAAACTTGAACTTATTCTTCAGGTTAAGTGAGGTATATTAGTTAGGATAGTGTGGATTATGCTGCAGTAACAAGAAGTCCCCAGTCACCATGGTTTATAACACTTCACCATGGATTGTAACAATAGACATGCATTTCTCAAACCACGTGTTAGGTACTATTTTTCATAGTCATCCTGAGCTGATGGACATTCTATCTCAGCTTGTACTATGACCCAGGGAAACAAATGTGGCCTCTGGAAGCTTCTGCCCCGAGATGATACCCAACATTTTTACTCACATTTCCTTAGATCATGCAAGTTTTGCAGTCTAATTTCAGGGTAGGAACATGTGTTTCTGCTTGTGCCTATGAGCAAGAGTCCTGAGTAGTGGTGAGTGGACCTTATCACCTGCTACATTTAGAAGTCATTTCTCGAGGAATGTCTTTTGGGCTTAGCTGCTCCTCTGTCGCCCCTCTTCCTTCCTTCCTTCCTTCCTTCCTTCCTTCCTTCCTTCCTTCCTTCCTTCCTTCCTTCCTTTCTTTCTTTCTTTCTTTCTTTCTTTCTTTCTTTC